AGTGAACACGACCTACAGCGTCTCCGACCCCTGGGCGCGCATACAGCTCGGTTATATGGCTTGCCAACTCTCCGCAAGGAAGGCAGGTCGGTTCGTCCACTTTTAGACAAGAGGAAATCGCAATATTATACAATAGCAAAAGGACTAGCGGAGAAATTGAAGCCCATGCAGTACCGGCTAGCATTACATATCGATACGGACCTTCGCGATATTGTAGATTGTCCGCCCACGAAAGCCCAAATGCGGCCTTAAATTAGGCACTCACTTGTCGCATTTCATTATCAAGGCAAAAACGTCTGCATCGTTTGATTTCGAAGAGGACCTTGATGGCAGGAAGTATACGCAGCTCCACGATGGCATGATTGCACGAGTCAGAAAATGGAGCTGTCTCGGAGGCATTCACAATGACCAACGGCGTGAATCAGGGCTGCATCCTCGCGCCCGCCCTCTTCAGTTTTATGTTCTTTGCCATGCTGATGGACGCCTACCGTGATGAACGCCCTGGGATCCGTATCGCCTACATGACGGACGCCCAACTCCTCAATCACTGGCGGATGCACTTCCAGTCGCATGTATCCACAACTACCGTCCATGAACTTCTCTTCGTGGCTCTCAACGCGACCACATAAAGGGGCATGGATCTCTTCGCCGCCGCCGCCGCCGCCGCCGCCGCCGCCTGCGACAACTTAGGCCTGCTCATCAACACCGAGAAAACGGTGGTTATGCATCAACCGCCATCCGAGGCTGTCTACGTCACACCCCAACTCAAGGTTGGTGGCGTCCAACTGTAAGTCGTGGACAACTTCGCCTATTTGGGAAGCACACTCTCGCGCAACACAAACATCGAGGACGAGGTTGCCCGTCTGCTGTACAAAGCCAGCCAGCCAGTCTGTGAGATCAACTTAAACCACACACAATAAGTTCGTTTCGCCTAATGTCAGCAGTCAAGGAGCTGTGAGGAGTAGTTTATTCTGTACACAGGGCAGGTTGTTGTAAGCTGGCTGTTTGCTTGAAACAGAGATAAGTCTCCGTTCACGGAGATCGTCGGTCGCGGTGTGTCGTTACGCGGGGGTTGAAAGTCTGTGTCAGTAGGTGGGGGTGACTTGTTGAGTGCTGGTCGTGAGATTGGACGGATTAGGGGGGACGCATAATCACGGGTATCAAGTCAGAGCGTTCGACGCGCGTGAGGCGATGATAATGTGAGGGCAGTCGGGAGTCACTGCAGCGGGACAGGAGGGGCCTCAGTTCTTGCCGGCGGGGGTAGTGGGAGAGGGAGATCTAAAGCACAACGGAGGATGTGACTTCCCTGTTCACACCTTCTTTGTGATAATTGGCCACCCAACAGCCCATGACAGTTACTCCTGCCATCTACCCAACCGTTTCCACAGGCCTCCTCACTTCTGTTGTTTCTCGCTATCAGTACACCTACTACCTCCAATTAACATTCTGTTTTGCATACATAACATATAGTAGTTTGCCTTGGAGGCTGACAGAGCATAATCAGGCATGGAGATTACCAGGCGTCGCACTACGCTAGACGGAGGACCTGCTTGCATAATCTGGTGTCGCCTAAACTGCAACCGTACTTCTGCCATCCTGTACCTCGGGCGTAATGACTCAACTGCTATTTGAATACCCTTGGACTGTGCACACACTCTCAAGAAGATGGCAGCAGAGAGCAATTTGAACAACTGGTAGGATTGTAAACAGTCCTTTTTTTCTGCCCTTTCACCGATTTCAGATTGACAGTCTCCTAAACCGTGCCTGCTCCCACCTCGCTGTGGAGCACACGGTGGACATCGTCGGATGCGTCGGTCGAACTGCCATAAGGGCAGGACCTCTCAGTCGGTGACTGAATAATTACTCCTCCCTGAGGAATGGTTGTCAAGGCTACATGCAGGGCTGCGTCTCACCCTTGTGAGCTTTAGAGATTGTGTCGATTGGCGCTTCTTTTTACTTCCCCCCAAAGGAAACTAACTACACTCGGCTTGCATGACCGCGTTGGTCTCTTCCCGGCCCATCTGCTCTGATATCCAGTCATTAGAAAGATAGAGAGAGAGAGAGAGAGTGAGAGAGAGAGAAATTCGCTTTATTTTGAAATTATAAATTCAAAATTTTCAGCAAAAAATGGGCTCCATTCACTATGGACAGCAAACATGTTAATAGATTACTCAAGAGTCAACACGTTTAACACAAATGTACAATTATTATGGGGACAGTTCAAGTCTAAGCTTCTGTACTTCTGTCTCTTCAAACGTAAGATATGGCGCTAGGAATGGCAATACAGAATCTCGGTATGACAGGATAGCAATATAGAATGAGAGGTAGAATGTCCTGACCTATGAATCGCCAAATTAAGGGTCGAGGTATATGGTGGGAACGTAAACGACGAATGCAATAAAGTGGTTTATGCACTTTAGTAAATAGGGATTAAATATCGAGGGGAAATGAAAGATGTGAGGATAAAGTAACGCCAAGGTGCCTGAAATAGTATAGCCACGTTGGGCAGGATGCCAAAGGAGTCGGGTCTAGGAGGGGGCCGCAGTCAGAAAATACACTTGACTGGTTTTTGGCCGTTCATTAGGAGACCATTTTTCTTCGACCATACTAGGACATGGTGGTGTGACTGACTTTTGAGAGGGTGTCCAACAACCACATCATCAGCATACTTAACCAAAAGACAGTCGTTAGATGATCATAGATCATCGGTGTGGAGGGAGAAAAGGTGAGGGGATAGAATGGACCTTGAAGAACTCCACAGTCATCGGGAAGGACCGTAGATTACAGCCTGTCAGATTGGCAGTATCAGTGTGTCAAGTATCAAGTGTATCAGTATCAGTGAAGAAATTGCGCGCGGGAAGTAGAATAATCGCTAAACCAAGGGACGACCCGGTCTGAAGAGCCGCACGCGGATGTTTTGGTAAGGAGGAGAGGGTGCGGGACGGTAGTGAAAGCGCAGGAGTAGTCAAGGAAAGCACATGTGTACTCGCGATAACGTCTATCTAATTTTTTTATGGCAGAGTGGACCACAAGAGCAGCATCATCTAAAGTACTATGGTTGGCTTTATGTGCAAATTGTAGAGGATCGGCAAAACTGGAAGAGAATGGCTTGATTATATCTAGGGCAAGTATTTCAGCAAACTTTACTGGTGCGAAGAGCAGGCAACCGGACGAAAAGATAAGGGACCAAAATTGGCGGTTTTTAGGGATGGGAATTATTTTCACTGTACGCCAGGTGTCAGGATTAGGGCAAGGGAATTGGCCAACGCCAGTATTACGGTTGCGATTGCGCTAGATTCCAAGTGGTGGTAGACTTAGGACAGGGGAATCGGTATCCTCCCTGAAATTAGCGCTTGGCCATCTGCAACGTGGATGAGTGCGGGGGGAGTGGGAGGGGTGTGCCTATTCCCGTGTCCCAACTCTCAAAAGTACACATCACTGATTAGCATGCGCACGAGTACGCCCTCATCACTGTTGGGGCAACGGAAGTTCTAGGAATTCAATGCTAACCTTGGCGCCGCCAATTCCGATTCGCGTGAAATGCGCCCGCAGATGTATGGCCGAAAGGCGTCCTACATAACCAACATGCCTGGTCACCAAAACACTTTGTCCGATAGGTATTACATATATGTGTGCATATACGATAAGTTTCAAAAGGGGAATATAATGGAGCATAAGGCGCATGCTTCAGACTGAATAGAAGCGATGGTCGAATTACTTGTGGAAGCGAATAAATGTGTTTTGTGCCGCAATAGTATTTGCCTGATAAGTCGAGCTCTTCCATTTCTAAGTAGAACTGTTCAACCTAGACACAAATGGGCATCTGTTTGGACCCAATCTCGGTTGGATACCAGTGTCGAAACACTCCGTTACTGATGCTAGTATTATTGCAGTTAGTTACCCATACTGTAAGCGTTGGTAGAGTAGCATTGGCAGCCGTGGTGGCGGTGGTAGTAGTAGTAGTAGTAGTACTAATAGTAGGATTATTAGTAGTATTCGCCGTATCAGTGGTGGCGGGGAAAAGTTTTCTTTAGTGTTGCGACACTGTATTCCCGCCAGTGGTAGTAGTATTAGTAGTAACAGCGGTAGTAGTGGTAGTAGTAGCAGTAGTAGTGGTGATGGTAGTAGTAGTAGTAGTAGTAGTAGTAGTAGTGGTTGTAGTAGTAGTAGTAGTAGTAGTAGTATTAGTGGTTGTAGTAGTAGTAGTAGCAGTAGTAGTAGTAGTGGTCGGCCCGTAAGACAGGCTGATGGGGGAATAGACAATTATAAGTGTTGCGACACTGTATTCCCGCCCCAATCTCTTCTGAGTACTTTTCACTCAATCTGCTCGTCATTAGGTGCTTTCTTGTGGGAAGGAAACTTACGGTAGAAATGAACCCTGAGCCTGCCGTCTCTCCATCAAGCTAAATTCCATAGAGCATCAGAAATGAATATCAGCATTCGCTAAAATTCATTAAGCAAATAAAAGGACTACTTCGCTCAGACTACAACCCCATGTTTGTGGAATGCGCGCGGCGCACGTGACTTGAGCCTGACTTGGCGACAGGCTCACGCGCCAAACGATGTTGTGTCACGTGCTGATCGATTGCCGGTGGACAAAGGTCATTCACAGACGCACGCACGCACGCACGCGCACGCGCATGTGCACAATCGAGGCACTTGCGTCAGGGCCATCGGCCTCGATGACTGGTACTCGGCACGCTGAAACAATTTCTGCTCCTCCCTACGCCTTGGTGCAAGTGGTTGTGCATCTAGACAGACAGGTGCTCCTCGTAGGCACCAAATATTTGATCTACGTGGCCATCCCTGTGGCCAATCGGAAAGGATGAGAAGAAGGTGAGTCGTTGTTGTTATCGACCTTGAACGAATTCCTCCCATGTCTGCGGGTGGACTTCCAGGCACATCAGAAGGACGCCTGATTTTTGCGGATAAAGGGACTAGTGAA